CTCAAGAACACTGGATCCAGCTTGGTAGTACCAGGGACAATATGTGGCCGAGAAACTGAGATGATTTTGGATACTGGCTCAACTCACACCATCGTAAAACCTGATGTACTTTTTAATTGCCGCCATCGGAGTGAAAAAAGAAGTACTGGAATGAACTATGTTTTGGAATCAGCAAATGGATAAAATATACGCATCAAAGGTACGCATTTGGCAACTTTTACCTTTACCCACCTGGTTTTTGTTGCGGATATTATGGATAATGTTATACTTGGCCTAAACCTGATGGAAAATCAACGTTTTATCTTGGACATATCTCAAAGAGTATTAAGATGCGGAAATGAAGAAATTGTTCTTTCGAGCCCAACGGCATATGCCCAAAGAGTTAGAAAAATTGAACTGATCACAGATTACGAAATTCCGGGAAAAACTGAACTGATTGCCTTGGCTACCTGTAAAGACGAGAATGTCGTAATAATGGAAGGAGATCCTGAATCAAAATTATGTAGAAAAGGTATTGTGCTCGCAAGAACTTTATCCAAAACTAGAAATCACGTTGTGCCTGTACGTTTGATGAATGTAACCGAGCATAGCCAACCATTGAAGAAAGGAGAGGCACTTGGTAGCTGGGAACCGGCATGCACGATTGTTGCCTGTGAAGATTTACAGTGCAAAAGGGTTATTCCCAAGAACCTCCCTCAAGCGTTGAAGGATTTGGCAGACACGTCTTCAAAAAACTTAACCGAAGCTCAAGCGCACCAAGCGGTCAACCTTCTGGAAAGAAGTTTGGACGTGTTTGGACGTGTTTGCACTCTCTGAAGACGACTTCGGCAAGACAGATGTAGTTCAGCATCGAATAAATATTGGCGATGTTGCTCCAATTAAATTGTCTCCTCGAAGACTTCCGCTTGTCAAGCAGGAAGAATTGGCTCGTATCTTAGCAGGCATGGAGAAGCACGAAATAATTGTACCATCACAAAGTCCATGGACGTCACCCGTAGTGCTGGTCAAGAAAAAGGATGGTTCCAGCCGATTCTGCGTTGACTACCGAAGGCTTAACGATATCACGAAGAAAGACAGTTTTCCTTTGCCCCGTATCGATGATACACTTGACACACTGTCGGGCTCAAAATGGTTTACCACGCTGGATTTGAATAGCGGCTATTGGCAAGAACGAATGCACTCCGAAGACAAAGAGAAAACTGCTTTTTCAACTGGAACTGGACTTTGGCAGTTTAATGTAATGCCTTTTCTAATAGAGACCGTATTACAAGGATTAGCCTGGAAGGTTTGTCTTGTATACCTGGATGATGTTATAATACTTGGAAACACATTAAATTTTTCAACAAATTAAGAGCTGCAAACCAGAAAATGGCCGTCCCTTTGAATGGAGCGTAGAATGTGCAACGGCATATAAAGAGCTGAAACGAGCTCTCAACTCTTATCCGGTTTTATCTTATCCAAAACCAGGAGATGTGTGCATACTCGACACTGATGCGAGCAATACTGCCATTGGAGCTGTGCTTTCACAATTTCAAGATGGTAAAGAAAAGCTCATCGCTTACTACAGCCGAGTGCTATCGAAACCAGAACGAAACTACTGCGTCACCAGGAGGGAGTTATTGGCAACGATAAAATCCGTACGCTATTTCC